TCAGCCGAATCGAACTGCGCTCGCCCTACATGGTGACAATGAGATCAATGAGGAGAAGCAAGGACCCCAAACCGCCCTAACGCAAGGAAGATACAACGTTGGAGACGTTGAAAAGAAAGAGTGTTGTTTTACCTCTCCTCTTGTCGAGCATGGCGCTGGCGAGTGACTTCTTGGGAAGCATTCCAAATTTCTCGTAGTACGCCTTTTCCTCTTCGCTAAGCTTGCTCACATCCACGGCAGGGGCAGCTGCGGTCTTGGGCTGTTCAGTAGACATGTCGTGCGGATGGATGCTTGTTGATGTTCAATTCTGTGATGCTGGGAGACGCTATTTCCTCTTCCTTTTCTCTTTTTGAGCTTCGGGGTTTGGGCGAGGAATTCAAGGTATGTTCACGAAACGCCAGGGGATGAAGGGGGGTGAGAGGGGCAGGGGGAGTGCATGCTGGCTCCCACTGTCAGTCCCAAGACATCTTTGTGTTGTTCTTGTTGATGTCAATGCAATGCAGTGCTGACAATTCAATGCCAATTCATGCCCCCCCCCCAACCAACTGCATGCTGGTGCACAGGAATGCTGAAGGATGCTACTGTGATGGATGAGTTGGGCTTGGGGATGATGGGGGACTTTGTTGGGTTAGGCTGGTGCCTATCTCAAAGAGGTGTTGGAGGCTCAGACACTTGAAGGCCCAGAGTCAAAACTCCAACACCACAGCCTCCCACCTGAGCACAATGGTGTCACTGAGGGTTTCAACCAAGCCATCATGGTTATGGTGTGCACTCTCCTCACCAATAGCCAGCTTCCATGGGCGATGTGGGGTGAGGCCCTATGCATTGCAACACACATTCACAACCATCTTCCTATCTTGTATGCCTCTTCTTCAAAATTCACGAACCTTGGTGTTGGTGGCACTGTTGTTGTGGTGTGGGAGAGCAGGGCAGCCAGTCATTGCCCAGCTTGAGGAAGGGTGGAGTAGAGGTGGTATGACATGGTCCAGCATGTTGCCATCTCCAGGATGAGCATGTTACCATGGCCATCCACTTGCCATTCCACCACACAGGCTCCACTGCTGCACATGGTGTGCACTGCATGGGTAGTGTGCATTGCCAGAGACTACATGCACATCACCTGCCTCAGGTGGTCCAGCTCACAGTAGAAGGTCCACATGTTCTAGATCAAGGGTCTTAGATTACCCTCCTCCATTACCTTCCAAGTGTGGTGTGCATTTAGAAAAGAACAACTTTCAACAACACAAAGAACTTGTGGTCATTTGAAATGAGAGGTCCAGTCATTTTGAAAAGTGATTTTGTTTGTGAGTTTAAGCTCATAAAAATAGTTTTGACAACACAAAAATGGTTTTAATTTAAGAATAGCAAGGCAAAAATTGGGAGCATCTTGAGAAATGGCAGATTAAAATACCATCATAATGAGAGATATGATGCTGTAACTGGGCCATCAGTCAAGGTCTGGAATGACCAATTTCTATCATGTACATGTTTTGGTACACTTACTTTATCGCGTACGCGTACGCGATGGCTACGCACGTTTTTTTCGGTCCTTTCCTGAACGGCTGGCACACAGAAACCATAAAAGGAAAAATCAAGCTGCTGGGATTTAACTGGACAAAAAGTTAATTTTTATTCTTTACACAAGCAATTCGGAGGGGCTGTTTGTCACATCTCAGTGTGGAGAGTGCCCTTCATCTCTTACTTCTTGGCCTCCTGAGGAGGTGGCTGCTCATTGTGAGGGTGGCCTGGAGCTGCTCTTTGTCATTCAGTTGATATCAAATTGTTGCAGCATTCATCTTCACATGATCTGAGGGGCAAGGAGGAGATATATTAGCAAACACTCTATTGTGTACATGTATGTGATAGAATGTCCTGCAGTTTTAAAGCATAATGGGCTTTGATAATAGCATGTATGCAATGGGGCAGTTACCTCCTTCAGGAGCTTCAACAGTTCCTTGTTGTTGGCCATGGCTGATGGCAGGGTGACTTGCACCAATGCATACACAACAACAAAAACTGTAAAACCAGACACTTACTTTATCACATACACATACACAATGACTACATGTTTGACCTACCAATACTTAGTTTATCATGTATGCATACATGATCTGGAAAATCAGAACTTTGCTTGTTTTGTGTAAGTGCTCCTCTGAACAACCTCAAACTGCACCTTGCTTTTGCTTTCATACCCTCCATCAATTCCATAATCAGTGGCCAACATGCTGCCCTCACATCCAGTTCATGTTCAACCTCACACCATATTCAGTCAGTTGCACACATGCACTGAACTTCATTCTTCACATTTGTGCTGAATTGGAGCACTATTCCT